CTGCTGCAATAACTAAAAAAGGTGGATATCACTTAGGTGAATCTTTAGTAAACTGGTATGACTGACTAATCCCAGTTTGCAAATACTCTTGGATGCTATGCTCTCTAGGTAAAGCAGGAGGGGTTTTTGTTTCATTTGTATCTCTTCTCTCAATAAAGCTATGATATAAAACCTGAACACCTAACATTAAGCCCAACAAGCTACAGAAATTCCCCCAAAATATGCAAAAATCACTGATACTTAAATTGACTTTCCCTGTGTCCAAAAGCCCAGGTATCATGGCCAGCATGAACACCACTCTCATTGTATGGATCCAACCACATTTGACACAACTGCCAGAGCTGCAGCTACATAGTTCTGCTATGCATAAGAGTTCATCACTGTTCTTCAGCTTCCATATTATCAGCAATAGACAACTCCACTGCAACTTTCACCAGCATCAAAACTGCTATTTGGTGTATCACCGTCATCAAATGAAGGATCAGAATGTGGGGGTTTGTGTCCTTGCAAGCATTGCTATCCAGGTGATCTGATCTTCTTAGGAAACCAGAACTAGCACTGGTATATAACTCATGGTGGGGAAGCTTAGAAGCTGATGTTTTGGTGCATGCCCTTTTCTACTCCCCCATCCCTTGCAAAAAGGGTCTCTACACTCTTATTTCCCCTTCCAGCATTTGTTCAGCCACTCACACGCCCCTCACACTCACGAAGAGGGACTCCGTTCTTCTATTTTGCTAAGAAGAGGTGGGAGCAGCACTACTTATCCATGCAAACATGGACAAGGACAGGTCAGGACGAAAACAGTCTGCTCTGTCCTCTCCACCCTTGTAAGGGAAGACAAAGGAAGCAGTAATCTTGAGCAGGACAAAAGAACATCACTAGCACTGTAAGAGAGGTGGTACCTCACCATTACAATGTTCTTTGGCACTACATATGCTGAGAAATAGTAGTACTAATTGTGTAAGTAGCTAGCCATTACTCGCAAGATTATGTTTACAATCATTCTCCAACTGGCAGCAGCTTTTCAACACAGGACATAATTTCAGTCTATTTCTTAAAATTCTCTTACTACTTGCCTGCAAGTGATATAAAGTAATAGGAAGAAAAAACAAATCTGAGAGGAATCTTAATTCATCACCCAACCTACCCCCTCGAGGACTGAAAACATGCTAGCATAACGCAACTATCTTTACAGTCCAATGCCCAGCCATTTATCCTAATCACTCACACTTGCAAAGAATTACAGCAGGTTTCCAAACAAACAGCCAACAAATTAGGTACAGCACACTCCTCTGCAGCATCAAAGACTTTAACCACATTCCTTCCAGTACCCCTAAGCTTGTTTAAAAGCTTAGAATATTAAAAAAAAAAATATGCAGAAAGATTTTGGCAGGCAGCTTTGTTAGAGTTGTATACATAAGTTTCCCTTGATTTCAGACAGCAGAAGTTGCAAGAGGGAATATATGATATAACTGGGGAAAAAAAAGAAAAGAAAAAAAGGTTAGAGAACAGCTGGGTTGCCCCTCTACAAGGCAAAGGGACCTAGAGACAAAGGACATGAAAAAGGCCAGGACAGTCAGACACTTTTTTCTGCCTGGGTTTTTATGGGTATGGTCTGCCCTCAGGCCTCCCACATGCCCAAGCACATCAGCAGTCAGTGTGAGTAAAGCATTACCTACAGCAGAGGAAGAAATTAAGGAGCTGTTAAGCCAACTGGACATATGTCCGTGCAACCAGATGGTAATGCACCCCAGTGTAATCAGGGAGCTGGCCAGTATAACTCAGATGCTTGCATCATCTCAAAGCAGCATGGTGAGCAGGCAAGTTTCCTGATGATGAGGAAAAAAAAGCAAACGTTCAAGCCATCTTCAAGAAGCGCAAGGATGACAACCTGGGGAACTACAGGCCATTTGACTTTAGTTTCTGGGAAAGTCTTCCTGGAAGGGATTCCAGCTACATGACAGACTAAAAGGCAAAAAAAAGAGCCAGCATAGATTTACCAAGGGGAAATTATGCCTGACCAAGTTTGCTGACTTCTATGATGAGGTGACTGGCTCAGAGGGTAAGGGGAAAGCAGAAGTGTTGTTTACCTTGACTTCAGCAAAACCTGTGACATCATCTCCCATAGTACTGTTATAGACAAACTGTTTACTTATCTAGCCCATATTTCATGTGTAAGGTGGGTGGAAAACTGAATGAACTGCTGGGCTCAAAGGCTGCAGTCAGCAGTAGAAAGACCAATCAAAAACAAGTGACTAGTGCTGTCCTTCACTGATGAACACTGGGGCCAATACTGTTTAACATTTTTAGTAAAAACCAAGACACACAGTGCACCTTCAGTGAGTTTGCAGATGACACCTATTTGGGGAGAGCAGTCAATAGCTTGGAGGGTAGGTTGTTACTCAGAAGGACTTGAATGGGCAGACAGGAACAAAGTTCAGAAAAGGTAAACGCAAAGCCCTGCACCTGGGGTGGAATAACCTCGTGCAAAAATACTGGAACAACCCCTGCACAGGCTGAGTGGGTAGTAAGCAGCGTTGCAGAAAAGGACCTGAGGATCCTGGTGGACAAGTTAAACGCGAGTCAGCGATGTATCCCTGTGGCAAAGCAGGCCAAGCACATGCTGGGCTGTATTAGTATCCCGGTTTTGGCTGGCATAGAGTTAAACTACAGCAATTAGCAAGAGCAAGACTGAAGAAAGCAATTCCTCCCCTCTCTTCAGAGCTTGTAAGATCTACAGTACCTGAAGCACTGCGTAGCGCAGATCCCAAAACCAGACAAGAATTAAACTGCTACACCAAAGGAATCTGGCAGAAGACCACACAGATGACTAGGGGGCTGAAGCACAATGCCTTATCAGGGGAGGCTGAAAGCATTGGGTTTATTCAGTCTGGAAAAGAGAAGGCTGAGGGAAGGGCATAGAAGTATCTTCTTACTGTTTTTAACTACCTAGAGCATACAGCCAGACTCTTTTCAAAGATGCACAGTGATAGGACAAGACGAAAATTCTAATTAGACATAGGAAAAAACATTTCACCATAAGGGTAGTCAAACATTAGAATAAGATGCTCCGTGATATTCAAAAATCACCTAAAAATACCTTTAGCAATTCAAATTTGCTGGTCCTACTTTGAGTTGGGACTTGGACTAGATCACAATTAGAAATTCCTTCCAACTAAATTATTCTATGTTTCTATGTATTGATACAGCATCAGCGTACTGATGGTGCAGAGAAGAAAGGGTACATTTATTAATTAAATAGAATTGAGGCATCACCTTCAATGCTTATTTACTCCTTAGTTCTAATAGGAGCCAAGTTACCCTATGAATTGCCTCCTCTCCATTTATCAACCTGGCTTTTCTGACTCCTACTTCATCAGTAAAAATCACTCCAATACATCAGAAATGTTTCAGGAAAATGAATAAAATCTGTGTGTTTCTCAAAAATAAAGTTGTATCTTAATTATGAATAAAACATACTGCCACAAAATATCCTAGCACTGCTATGTTGGCAGCAGGGGGAGCTACGAATGCAATGATAGACAGTTCCAAACTACTGCTGTATTTTTAAATGCTTCAGTAAAGCCAAACACCTGCCTTAACTGCTGGATGAGTTAAAGACTATGCCACAGGTACAAGAATACTTTCAGAGAGGCAAAAACATCTGTACAAGAGCATGAAAACAGGATGCTTCTGAAATACACTACTAAAAACTATAAAATCTTGTAAGCCTATAAAAAAACGGGAAGAAACATCTCCCCCTCCAGCAGTTCTGCTTTTTCTAAGGCCAACGAAAAATATTGCCAGTCCTTCCTGGAAATAAAGAGAAACAAGCAACCTGATGAAACTATTAATTATGGAAGCACTCATTTAGTTCAATTTTTAAAGCAGCCATAATTCATGGTGTGTCTTTGGAATCATCTCTTACAAAAAGACTCACTGTATGCCTACATTGCATTAATTTCCTAACTTACATGACTGAAACACGCACAACTTTAAAGTTATCAATAGCTATTCACATATTTCTTAGACAGTGCTTCCTCCCAAACAAGCTGAAAATAATTTTAGCTCCATTCGCTTAGAACTTTTAGTAATAGTAAAAGCAAAGGAAATGTAGTTGTGACTATTTCTGCACAATGAATCAGTATTTAAGCTGTAGAAAAAAGCAACCCTAATTCACAGAGCCTTTTTTTGGACCACCCGTCCACAGTCAGGTTGCTAAGTTGTTGTTCGTTCCTATAAAAGAGGGAGTTAGCCCCAAGAGCAGTCCTCAGTCTGACTGACCGCTTTCACCTACAAAGGAATAGTCTGTTCTATATCAATTCAGAAATACTGCCCAGACACATGAAAACTTCTGCAGATGAATAAATCTGAGCTGGTCCACCTTCATTCAACTCCACTGCAGGGAACAGAAGAAAATACCAGTCACACATTTTCTTTCCAAATTGCCTGTTACTTAATCTTCCATTTTTTTGCAAACGAGACACTTTTGAAAGAAACAGAAACACATGAACTTGCGATACACTACCGTCATACCACTGCCACAAACGTGTAACATTTTGAGAGATCTAGAATACTAAACAATACTAATATTGGCACAGTATCTTTGATACCAGGCTGCACACTCCTCTATTTGGGCACTGCCTCCTGTGCCTCCTCCTCAAATGCAGGACAGTGCTACCTGCACGACCGCTCTACCTCAGCAGTATGGCTGCTGGGACAAAGTCAGTTTCCCTTCTCCAGCAAAATGCTGATGCCAAGCAGAGCAATGGTTTGCAGAGGGCCAGTAGGTCCCTAAAGGGAACTCAATGTGGGTACGGGTTATGCCAGAGTAGAGAGTCCTATAACCCAAAACAGGGGGGGAGACACCACAGTACAGTGTATGGATTAGCAAGCCAAATGCCCACCAGCACCACTTCGCACAGACTCCAGGCGATAGTGAATGTTTCTGAGAATAAGACTATATTCCTTAGCAAGGTTTCCTATGGGGAAAGGGTGAAAAGGGTGATAAGCAAAGGACAAAAGGGTCCGCAAGATGGACAGCTATTCCCCAAAACCTCACTGCTCCTTATAAAAAGGTCTAGTCCCCTTATTAAAAAGGCTTAGCTGGTTGCCAAGTATAATTTTATTTTTGGTACTGTAATTCAGAAAGATTTAAACAGCACCCACCATAAATACTAGAGACTGGAGCTGGTACACTATGTCTTTATTCTACCCATAGAGGAAATAAGTTGTAGGTGAGACACCTGTTAAAGATTAGAATCAAGTGTCTGTAAGACAGCCAATGTTAACAACCAAAAACTTATAACTTGCTTCTGTTTGTTCCCTCAAACTGATCAATATTACAGTGTCTCCAGTAAAGCTAGCCACTGGCACAGGACCATCAAGCAAACAAACAAAAACCCCACCTCCAAAAAAAAAAAACAAAAACAACACCCCAAACACAAAATACCCCTCTTCTCCCCCCAAAAATCAACACAAATTTGAAAATCTAGTAATAACTTTGAGCATTGATGACATGTAATCGAAGGTCCCCTTTATTAGTAGTTCCAGAAGGGCAGATAAAAGGACCTCGCTATTTTGTGATCTGAAAAGCACCACCACGTAGCTTCAGGTATGCTGACAAGGAAAGACTGTCGGGGTGGGGTGGGGTTGTTTTAGTATCATACCATGCACCTTATTTAACCACTCTAAAAATCTAGCTTTTAAGAAATACAACACCTTGTAGATTTATAGGAATCCATTCTGATGATGCACTTTTAAAAAAAGTCAACCTGCAATCTCTTCCTGCCACAGTTCTAGACCTTGACTCCATCACAGAAGGATCTTAGGACAAATTTTTGGTTACAGCCCCTGGAACCAATATGATAAAGTGCACAGCATCCTACACAAGCAAAAGCCCATCTTCCCTAAAAAAAAATTCAGACAAGATACAGACTCTAAACCCTCCTTGTAAACCCATGGCTAAACGTTCCTATCATGCAATGTCTGAATACACTGCAATGCTAGAAAAAAGTCTGGCCAAGAAAACGCATTTGTGAAACTTCATTTTTTAATGCTTTTCATTAAAGCAGCAAAATCACCTGATAGACAAAAGTTCTTATAATTTAAAAATCAAATTACACTACACAACAAACATCTAACACTAAGCAAATTACACAGAGTTAATTTAATCCCATAACTGCACAGAAAGAAACAAAACCTCCAAACTCAGAAACCACAATACAAGGAATCACTTGTAAAATTGACTCTAGAGTGGCAGGGCAGATATATTAACTCTATTTTACTTCTGTGATTGGAACTCTGGTAGTGGTCCTAAAACGGAATATCTACTACATTAGCTCTGTAACAGATACTTAGCTGCATTCTTTCAGTAGCAGCAGAGTTAAATCATTCTTTCAATAAAAAGGCCAAAGAAGAACCCACAAATTGCAACACATACAACATACATCAGATCCAGAGCAAAAACAGAGGACAGCACAGAGAAGTATTTCAATATACCTTGAGCGCTGAAGACTTCGCGGAGAGGCAGGCTCATGACCTGCCTGCTTGTCAGCTATTACCGGCTGCTGAGGTGCTGCCTGTGAAGCTGGTCCTTGTTTAACACCTGGAGTAGCAACCTGGAAAGTTCAAAACTTCATTAGATTTCTTCTTTCACCAGAAATATCAAGTGTAAGAACCAGAGGAAAACAAGGAAATTACAAGTTACAAAACCAGTGCGTTTTTTTGATACAATGTCTTTTGTTGATAGAATTTTTATACTCTTCACAAGGTGTTTTTTTAAAAAATCATCTCTAGTTCCACAGCTGTGATACCTTTTTTGACTAAAATAGAAAGAGAACTTAATACACATAACAGAAGCAAGTTTAGATCCGCCTTGTCAAAATACTGCAAGTTTATTAGGCAAAACAGTTCAACCCATTTTCAATTTTGAGCATATCTTCCATGTGAGCACCAAACTCGTTTTAAACCTCAAAAGAATTGTTCATTATCCAAATAAAAATTTTCACTTAAAAAGTTTCCTACTTGAAAATACATTGCACAGTGTCAAGAGCAGAATTAGGTCATAAAGGTATTATAACATTTCTATCAGAAATAGAAAAATAAAAATCTAAAGCATATTTATCAGTCTGCTACTCCCCCTTTTTAACTGTTCTGTCAGTTTTAAACTAATGAATGACTACAAAAAAAAAGTCACCAGTAGCTTTTTGCTTTTCATTTGTAGTACACATTCACATTTAAGATCTTAAGACACCATCAGTAAGATACAGTCATCTTTCTGTGAAGTCGGGAACTACAGCAGGATGAAAAGTTTGGGAATATACTAGTGTCTAAGTTACAGAAAACTGAGTTAAAGATTTTTATTTTTTTCGTCCCATACTCTGCATGCCCCTGTCCCTTTTAAAGAACAGAGGAAGCAGCTCCAAAATTTATTTATTGCCCCCCCCGGAAAATCAAGCTAACAATTTTAAGAAAGAGGGAGGGGAAAAAAAATGGGGTTTAGGGATTCATAAAGACAAAAAACGTAAATCAGGCAGCCTGTCAGGCATTTGCTGACATCGCTGGTGTAGATTACTAACTAGGTCATCTGAACCTCCAGAAACTCTCAGTTTCAGAAACAGACTCCTGTGAAACAAACCACAGAGGGCAAGTCAGACAGTATCTGCTGAAGTAAACTCAAGATGTTAAGTTCATTTATTTAAATACACAGGAAATCTTAATGTAATCTCAAACCTACTTTTTTGTGTAAGAGGAAAAAGTCACCTTTTAAAATTACCATCAAAAGCCAAAAAAAGTATGAATAGCACACCAAAATGTCATGGTTCTGGGAAGGTAAAGCGGGATCATTGTAAAATCACTCAGTGTGTTGAAGTCAACTGAATTATATAGTTAAGGGGGGCGAAATAGTAGCAGTTTATAAATTGGTTTATGAAAAAAGACTACCTGAGTATCTTTATTAAATGTATGACATGAAGAACTTTGCTATCAATGCCTGAAATTTGCTCACCCTGTAAGCAAACAAAAGGCCGTTTGAACAGAAGGAACAATTTCAAAAGGAAAGTCCATCAGAGATAATACAATCACCTTGTGGATCCAAACTGGAAAACTAACCAGCTCCTTGACTGGTAAAAATAAAAACAAAAGTGGATTGTAAATTAAAACTGGGATTTGAGAGATACATGAGTCACAAAAACTCTTTAACTATTACCTATTTTCCAAGTGTTTCAAAGACTGTAAGTAAGTGTACCAGGAACAGAAAAATAGTAAGGACTAAAGAAAAAAAAAGATTTCCATACACAACATTCTCACTAAGCTTGACAGGTCTGTCTTTACAGAGTTATTCTGCAGAAATTGGGAACGGTTTCCAACCACACAACACAGGCACAGCTAAATAGCAAAATCCAACACCTAGGATCCTAGAGTCTGTGACACCTGAGCTGCCATGTGCATACAGCACACCTCTAGCAGACATACCAGCTTGAGCTTAAAACCAGTACAGAAATGTTCATGAAGTCTGAAGTAACAAGCCCTGCTGTGCAAATGGCACTACACTGTTCCCAGAGCCAGCCCAAGTATGCGGGCATCTGGCACCGGGCTCTGCTTGCATGGTGCCAGTTCAGCTTTGTCTACGCCTGCTGCATAGAAGCACCCTAAGCCAAGGAGCTTGTGCTCTGAAACCAAGCATGTCCTGGCACAGCACCACATCTTGATTAGGCATAATTTACCTCAAACTCTTAGAACTGGATAACTTAACCTGACTGACTGACATATCCAAAGGACTACCAAAACAGCCATGCTTACGCTGGAGCTATTATCACCTAAATTCTCTTCTCAATCCCACCTTATTTAACTGGAAAAGCATCCGCTGCTAAATCAGAATTTGTTACTTCTGGGACAAACACACAAACAATTCATGTTAATATTTCAACAGCTCTGTTGTTAGCACCAGATATGAGGAACACAAAAACCAAGAAAAGCTCCTGCCATCAAGCATTACTACTAATTCTGTTTAGCTGATCAAGATACCTAGAAAATAGAAAGCTTTTATCATTATGATATCCCATTGTAGTAAGAGCTATAACTTCCTCACAGTAGGATGGGAGTGAAAACTTGCCAGTGCATATAACAATACACAACAGTCCATCAGGATTAACAGTATTCTGAAGCAGAGACATTATAACTTACAAGTAACTCAAATTTACTGAACTTAACACTTGCAACCACATTATATGTGCTTCAAAAACAAATCAGATGTACAATCTCACCTTGTTGTGGTGCAGTCTTAAGGAAAGATTGATTAAAATATAGTAATTTCAAAATGTGTCACAATACTCGCATCAAAACACAGACATTACCACTTTCAGAAGAACTGCTATATATGTATCAATAAAACACACAATACCTGCCTTTGAAAATACCAGAGGTGAAATCCTGCATGCCAAGTCACTAACTATAGGCAATCGCAGAGCCCTGCATATCAGTGGAGATTCTCATATCAAACAAAGCATAAAATAACCAACACTTTTTTTGTTGTTTTTTGAGGAGTGGCAGCCTTGCTGTAGTTACAACTTGCACCGGATTCAGATCAACTCTTCTCAAACTTGCATTTAGCCTTTAAGTTTTTTTTGCTTCTACTGAAAACCCAAGGGAAGGCTTGTGTATCCAAAAGCATATGCAATTATACAGTTGGTCTACCAAGACAGATTGGCCCTACTTACAGTACACTTGGCTTGCCTTCACTTTCTCTTAAGGCATAGTTTACTACCACACCACCTACTTCATTGGTATAATATTGGCCTTTATATGGGGTGAGAGGCAGCGAGTTCAAGTTTGTCTGCACAGTTCTACGAAAACAAGCATAGAAGTCTTGGGGAAAAAAGAAAATCCTGCTGAGCTTGTCCTTCCTTCAAGTTTTCTTTCAGAAAACACTGTAGATAAAGAAGATCCCAAAGGATAAGACTTTAGCCATGTTTCTAATGCAGCTGATAATCTGAACTTTATAAAGTAGATCCAGATCTCTGGGTTGTAGAGACCAGAAGAGATCAAATTCCAGTTACTGACAGTAAACAACTTAAGATTCTTTTTGATATCCCATGATTGAAAAGTGCCAGACGCCTCCCTTCTGTTTCAAGTCTGCTATTTGATAATTGCATTGCTTGTCACCTAGCTATGGGATGTGACCACATAGATTCAGGATGCACTCCAAGGGCAGAAACAAAGACAGCAAGCAGGTTTATACACACAAGGCTTTCACAATTCATTGTACCACTGTCAATCACAAAAAACTGGAAGAACCACTTGTACCCATGAAAAAATTCAAATGCAAGAAAATGAGGCATGTGGACCAGAATGAGGAATGTAATCTGTCCTCCTGAAGATAAAAGTATTCCTTAGAGGCTTTCAAGACATAGAGGTTCTCTTCTGAGCAAAAAATTGAGAGAAAGATGACTTAGATAATCGGGGGGGTGGGGGGGGTGTGGGGGTGCAGAACAGGGATTGTAGCACAAAAAAAAAAAAATAAAGGGTAAAGAATATCAAACAAGACTGGCCTCACCCTTATCTTATGCCGATAAAATACTACATACACTGAGCAACATACTGATAGACTGGATTAAAATCCAAGTGTCTCAATCTTGAAAGAAAGATCTTTCCAATGAAGAGACAGGACAAGTTCCCATTGCATGAAAATAGCAAACCTCTAGTAGTGGTCCAAATCCTTCTCAACAGACTGCCATTTTTCACAGCCAGAACAACACTGTTAACAGCTAAATTTTTGTTTTGTTCTTTTTTTTAAACTTGTCTGAAAGTCACAAGACTGGTATGCCCTGCAGCTCTACCTATCACTACAAAACTATCACCCACCAGAGGGTGCAAATCAATAGCTCTGCCTTCAGTCCCCTTTAGTAACAAAATCCTCCTTCATAGTAGGTCCTTTAACATAGTATCTCTTCCAACCCTTGCTCTATAACATAAATCGCAAGACTTCAAACAAGGAAAAAGAAAAACCCTTACAGAGAAATTAATCTTGAGTGCTTTTAATTACATCTACTTTCCCCACCTGTACACAGCAAAACAGTCTCTGATCTGCTGGACAGAGAAAGAAAGTAAGTAAATAAATAAATATTCTCAGCGTCAACTGTATTTATTCCTCAATATCACCACTTGTAGGATATGGAATACTGAGCTCAGATTCTGCAAAATACGTTTTTCATCTGAAGAATAGCCCACTAGAGGGATCACACACACACAAAAAAGTTTAAAAGACAACTTTATGCTTTCTGATTTATGTTTTCTACTTCACCCTTAGGAAGAACCTTAGGAGCTTATTTGTTAGCTTCAGGTAATGTTTCCTAGTCACCGATCCAGTTACTAAGGAATTCTGAATGAATGGGGGTGAGGTGACAGGAAGGGAAAGGGACATGAAGTTATTGACCTTGTAAACACCTAGAACATTTCTAAACCAAATTTCAGATTACATCAAGTCAACGTCCCCAAGAATTTCTTTCCCATTCTAAAAATATTTTATTGGCTAAAGTCTAGAGAACTGTTATCAGCTGTTGCCTTTGAAGTAAGTTTCTGTTTCCATTTAAATACATTAGAGCCACTACAGCATCCAGTTGTTTCTGTTTCTATAGGGAAAGTTTTTTTATCATACTATATATAACTGCTAGCACATGGATATATAGCAGCAATACCTAATTATTACCTATAATGGTTTCTTACTACAATATGGCATAAATCAAGAGGAGCTTACCTTCTGCTGTGATGATACCGGTGGCGTAGTCATCAAAGGTTTAAGTGGAACGGTGTTAGTCTGAGGCGTGCTTATTCTTGGAGATACATATGATCTTGGCGATGAGGCATCAGATGTTAAAGACATTGGAGACTGATTAGATGGCTGAGCTGCAAAGGAAAAATAAAAGGTTGTTTTTAATAAAATCTCATCCTATCTTGAATGTGAATTAAGATTTTCTTTTGGTACTTTGCAGTATGCTGTATAAGATAACACACAAACATACTCACCTTGAGATGGGGCAGGGCAGGGAGGGGGAACAACTGGAACAATCAAATGTTCAACAACAACCCTAACTAAAGAATTGTATTTTCCCCAAACTCTCCACTTCTAAAAATTGAGGGGAGCGGGAAAGAGAAGAAGCTACTATGCAACGCTTTTTACACATGAAGGGACCAAACTAGTTTCATCTGCAATTCCTATTTCAGAGTGCTCAACTCGATTTAACCAAAAGAATGCATGAACAGTTCATCTAGAAACTTATTCATAAATTCTAGGCATCTACCAAGAGTCCCCCACCCATGTTTTAATTATTGATTAAAAATAACCATTAGCATAATACTGCGTACCTACTGAAAAACATGACTGCATCTGTTGTTTTGGTTTAAGTTTCTAGCTTTATTAAGTTATAAACCAGAATGTTTTGAAGATACCTGAAGGAGTACCTTGCATGGAAGCTGAAAAATACTATTTACAGAAGATAACACCCCCCCCACCAGACAGAATAAACTTTAAGAAGCTAAAGCCTCCCCCAAGAGTGGTTGCACAGCACTACAAAAAGGGTGTTCAACCAAGGAAGAGTTGTGTTTTATATCAAATATTAAATGTCTAATTAAGGTTCAGAATAAACTGAGAGGGTCTCACACATGTTTCACGTTATTCATATAGAGTTAGTTAACATACAAAGAAAATCCCAAAAGGTGAGACAGAGAAGCCCATTTACTTAGTTGCATGTCAGCTTCCTGCTCCCCAAGTAACAATTTCTTATCCTATCTCTGGAAAAAAGAAGTCATTCGACATCCTCCACACCAGATGGCCAAAGATATAACTACAGACAGCTTCTGCAAGTTTCAATTGTATCAGCCTTTATAAAATGCAACATAACAATTTTACATAAGTGAAAAGATGACTGAATACCTTGCGTAGACAGTTGTGCAGCTTGAGAAATTAGGGAAGTGATATTGAAAGCAGATGGTCCAGCAGTAAGAATTTTATGGAGTATAGACTGCAGAGAGGCTTGTGTCACAGCTGCTGTTAGAACTAAAAACAAACATTCTGTTTTACTGGCAATTCTAGAACATCACTTTAAACTGTTCAAACTGGCTAAATACATTTAAGCGGCATTTTCTTTCTGATTTTGTTCCCATATCACAATAGTCCAAAGAGCCACATGAACTATTTTTCAATGACTTGAATGCAATTTATGAATGCTTGTCTAACCAAGTCCTTTATTTAGTAGTTTTATCTTTCAGACATACACTAAAAAAAGACTTTTGGAAACTAACTCTTCAGCTTGACCTTATGGATAAATAATAATTCTTGTAAACATAAAAAAAAAAATGTTCAATTTGTTATCGTAGTAAACAAAATGTGCAGGGTTTTTTTTAAACTACAATAATTAAAAACCAAAACAAAACCAAACCACCAAAAAAGCAGTATCACTTTAACTCACTAAAAGAGATGGGGGGATGCAGGGGGAAAGACTTCCTGTTCAAGGAAAAAGAAAATATCTTTCAAGTTAAAAATCCAGACACTTGGTGTTTCTTCTTAAAAAAAAACCCAAAAACAAAAACAAAAAAACACAACAAAAAAACCCCCAAAACCAACCAACAACAACAAAAAAAAAAACACAACAAAAAAAAAAAACCAAAACCAACCAACAACACCACAAACAAAAAAACCCACCCACAAACTTATTTGTTTCGGGTTTAGCTGTTCCTGTCCTCCCCCAACTAGAAAAAATTAATAATTTTCAAGAAACTGTTTAAAAACTGCACTACACAGGAAGAGCATCTTACAGTATGAGCCAATGAGACCCACCTTCTGAACTAATCTTTTCAAAAAGGCCTACAGGCTCTGTGGGATACTTCCTGAACACGCACTACCCATGCACAAGTCTGAAAAAACTGACTCACCAGCACAAACACAGAATAACTCTGCATCATGTGCACAGTAAGGGCAGTCCTGCTGCACAAGGTGAAGTCACGCTGCCCACATGGACCTGCCAGCCAGGCCCTCATGCCATCAGAACGATACTTAACACTCTTGTTCCATGACAGACACAGCTGCTGCTCAGACATGGCAAGAGAAAATGACTAGGAACTTAAATTGGCAGCTCTCTAATAAAATACAATTGGAGTCTTGATTGGACCTTTCATTTTTTAACACAACCAACCACAATACTCCTACTTTTTTAGTCCAACCTAGCACACTAGTTTCCTCTGCAGACACAAGCTTTTAAAAAAACAGTAACCAACTCACCTATAAGTACTAAATGAAGCCATATTTGCTGATTCAAAGGAAGTCAATTGACAGCTTTTCCTTATAATAATAATGTGCATAATATACATAATGTACATAATATTTTACTTTCATGGTTCACACTTTTTAGAAGTTAATTAACTCTGGGTACTACATGTAAAATGTTTTGCTTTCTATTTAAATTGGTCATCAGTGCACAAGAAGTTCAAAGAAGCAAACAAAAAATCCCACACTACTTCCTTCATCAGTAACCTGCCACATTCAGACACATTAGATAAAATTACATTCAAAATGCATTAACTCCACCTGTTCTTGCAGCAAAAGGCACTATAGCTGGTTCTAAATTTTCTTCTAATAAACTAGACCAATGTAACAACAATTTAAGGGATCCACTGACTACATCCACAAAATGTAACTTGCTAGCAAAATTACTGATGTGCTATCTTTATTGAGAGAGGCTAACATGTTCTGTTAAAGAAAAAAAGTGGATAGGCAACAAGATTTAAGAAACCCTAGAAGTTTCAGTATTTGCAAACACACATTATTAGAATAGCAGCACAAACTACAGAAAACAAAGAACATTGCATGAAACAAAAGAACAAAAAGCTCTAACTAAATTTTGTGCAACAGATGAATGCTGATACAGCGATTGAGTCACCAGCCTCAATTAGACTGCTCACATACATCAGCATTTATTAGCTTAACAACCTTAAACGTTACTTGGCTAATTTAGAAAAGTTTAACAGGAAAAAACGAAACCAAACCAGAAATGATCCCCACTTCACCTAGGGATTCACTTATTCACTTTTCATTTAAAGTAAGGCTTGCATTTACTACAGCTTAGTATCCAATAATGCACTAATATGTGTAAGTAAGAGATTACATCAACTTGAAAGAATCCTTACCTTCATTTATTTTGGATATATCTACGCTAGAATTATTAAGCTGCAAGGTAGCTTGCAGTGCAGGCAGCAGCTGTCGAAGGAGATTTGGGTCCTGAAGTAACGGAGGAATTGGTGATTGTGGGACAGGTGAGACAGGAACTGTAGGAGCAGATGAAGCAGGCGCAGAAGTTGGATTCAGGCCAGAAGCAGACGATGTAGAAGGAGTTGTGCAAGAATGGGATACAGACTTGTCCACTGATGCAGACTCTGAACAGAAGACATACAATAATTTTAATTTTCCCCAATAATAACCTGACAACTTCTCACTAGTACAATACTCATACTAAATTCAGAAGATCAAATGCTTAACTATCATTACAAGAAAAAAAATAAACATGAATATAACAAAAATTGAAGATTTGATATTTAGTATAATTTAGGCTATTGAACCCAATATATATTAGGAAGACACGCACATGAAAAAACCCTTCCACTTCAAGGTACTGGACTGAAAGCTGCCAATATTGCAAACAGAAATTTTTTTCCCCTGATTTTTAGGATAAACATGGGCCTAAAATTCCTTAGTGATTTTTTCTTTTACAGTGCATATACTCATATTCTATGTTTTTACCCATGATTCCAATCTTTCTTTGGAAAATATACTATGAACAAAAACCTTATAGTCCATGGACTTTACAGATAAGACCAAGTCCATCATACACAATCCAGCTGCGTTACTCAGGATTCAAAGATGTGATAATGAGCTGTACTAGAAATGCAAAACAAGAGCTGTTAACATCCCCACAGCAGAGTGGAAAAACATCTAAAAATGTCTCTGCCCATAATTAATTTCAAACTTGTTAGCTTCTCCCAAAGCACCTAGACCTATATCCTTTATTTTATTAATCTCATGTTAGCAAATATCAACACTTATTATCCACAGAAATGCTTAGTACTTCAAGTCAATTATACTGTATGGCAATTTGTTCTAATTAACGTTAGTTAATTAATTTTAAGTTTGACTTCCAGTTAACCTGAAAGTTTTGCCTCCATTCCAGTACTGTGAACAGATGAAGAGTGGATGAAGAGTGGAAAGATGGATATGGATCCAAGATCTCACCCAGGATTCTTGCCCATAATATTGAAGACCTAGATTTTAAACCCACCTCAAACTGGGCAGAGAATGTCAACCTAGATATGCCACATTACAGGCAAAAATGCAAATGAAAGCTAAAATAAGTGGCTGGGAAACTCTTTTACACTAAAGGTGTGTTTGGGTTTTTTGTCTTTGGAGAGATGGTCAAGGTAAGAGGCAAGTTTTAGTAAAGAATAAAAATTAAAAGGTTTTGTTCTGTTTTACTACTTAAGAATAAAATTTTACAAAACTTCTAAGAGCTTTTGTTTTCTGACAGCATTAATTGCAATTTTTGAGACTAATTTGGAGAACTCAAAAAAAGACTGACGTGAGCATCAATATGTACATTAAATGAGATTAGAAATGTCAGTGAAAGGAAAGGGGACTTCTGCTTCTATACAGTTACAGTAGAAATAATTCATACCAGGTCACAAATACTCAGAAAAAACATTTTCCAGTCAAGTAGCTGAGAAATCAAAACCAGAAAAAAAAAAAAAAGCTGAAGAATCCAAATTTGACAGCTTGCAAGGATGCAATAGCCAGGGCACACAGACGTATTTTGATGTTTCAGGCAAACTTCTAAAAGAGAGGCGGCCTTATCTAGTTACAAGCTCCTCAGGTCAAGGGGTTGGCTTTCAATGTATCTGTAAAGGGACCTGGTCATTTGGCCAGGAGCTTTCATAAGACCACCTTATAAATGGACACGAAGTGTTACAAAGACTGAAGAGGAAAAAAAAGCAGTTACAAAATTTTTATATGGTTTTCAGTAACACGTGACTAGGACAGTCCCCCTTAAAACAGTAATTCATTGGTAAAAGTCTGTTATAGAAGTACTACATACAAAATCTTACATTATGGTGTTCAAAGTAAACTTATCAAGACAACTGCAAGTCAAGACGCATTAAGCAAACAAGAATCTTATCCTACTAAACAAAAACATGTAAAGCTTAAATTGAACTTGGATCTGTCATAGTCCAAATACGGACAATGAGATACACTGGCAGACGAAAGCAAGGGAATTAAGCACAATGGGGAATGTTAGTACTTATATGTACAAGTCTCCTACCCTACAGTTTTGAGAACCTTGCAAAAAAACCAAACCAAACCCAAAAAGAATAAAAACCCTAATTTAAAAACAAACAAAACCAGAGAAAGATACTAAGCAACTGCCAGCCCTAATTTCAAAACATATTTAATGTAGTTAGGCTTGTCTTCACAGTTAGATTGTTATTTTAAGTAAAGAAGCAACTCACTACTGTATCATTAATTCACATAAGCAATACCTGAGCTTCAAACCACACCCCCATACCAAGCAGCTGGAAGTTTTTTTTCACCCATCCTGCAGTTTTGAACACAAAATAAACTGAATCAAAAGCAAACTCAAGCTAACAATACAATGATGACAAACCTTAAGACCAGTACTGGGTATTTAGTAATTTCTTGAATAAGAGGACTCAAAATACTTAATACAAAAACACTGAATTCCAAGAGGTCTGTAGAAGTACTTTAGTTTGGGTGAGCTGCTCTGCTACAAAAAATACAAACTGAATTACACCAAAACAACACGGTCCAGTGAATTCTTCTAGACTATTCTGTAGCTGTATTATTAAAGGTATTTTAGGTATGCATTAAAATATATCTACGAAAGATATTTTTTGTACAAACACGCAGATTAAACACCTAGAGAAACTGATGTGAAAAATGGTGTCTAACGCTAACACTCCAATCTTTTGAGATGGTTAACGTTACAAAACCAACAGTCTAAATGTTATGAAAGAACACATCTCTATGATCATTACTATCTACATATACATAATATTGTAGCTCTGTGTTATTCAACATCATAGAGGACGCAGAGTACAATGAATGCTCAGAATCTCACTGCACTTCACAAATGAAGCAATTTAAGTTTTTTTCATAGTGAAATAAAGGGTATAAACCTGTTTTCGCAAAAAAAATTGTAAAAAAATATTCGTGGAAATACAAGTATTTCTTCTTTGTATTAAGTAGCCTGAATGGCTATTTTCTTCTCTGTAAAGAGAAATTCCTTTGTGATGAAAGTAAAAATGCTAAAACATAGAGGCTATAGATTAGTTCTGTATAATCACAGCTTCCACTACTTTAATTTAAACCAACCTATCTTACTCCATGGCTTCCTGGACACTTGATTTCACAGAACTAAATCCAAGAAACACTGCCAATAAACAAAGCCTCTAAACATTTGCACATCCGTTTTTGTATAATAAAATTACAAGGGTTTAAAGCTGGTTTAATTTATGATGCTATACAGAACTTGCAAGTTTTGCCTTTGAAGTTAACAAAGCTAGTCAAAACTCCTCAAGATGAAAGGTCTGTTTCACAAAAATCCTCAGATATCACTCACTGGGGTGTGTGCATTTCCCCTGCTTTTTCTGCAAATAGACACAGAAATTTCTCACTCCCTCCTTTTCCTCCCTAATTCCCCCTTCTGATCTGCTTTGTGAGACTGTTTCATTGTACATTTTGCCACACAGTTAAGTTTACTTTTCAACATTTAAACACTATTCCCTACTTTCGAAAATATTTATTAGAATTTTTAAAAAATGCTTAGAATTATATAAACCTGCAATTCTTAAATGTATTTGAAGCCTCAACCACAATGAAACAGAGTCAAATGAACACATCACACCGAGAAAAGTTAAATACCTTTACAAATCTAAGTCCTTTAGTTTTACAACTCTGATATACTGGTCTCTACACCACTGTCAGTGTAAGTTCATGTTCATTAGCAAGCTGTCTGCAGTATTATGGCAAAATAAGTCTTTTCATTACATGGCAGTCATTCATAAACCTAATGTGAACCATTAATTCATCAATCAGACTAACTTTTAACCTACAACTGAAATTTTACAAACAGAAAAGGCAAGTTTGGTCTGTCTGTTGTACAAAAAATATTCTTAAAGAAAAGATGAACTGTGCTGCAAGGGCTGCAAAAGTCTTAGACTATGACCGAAGCTGCCTGCTATTTCCATACAAATGACTCTTCAACCTCACATAAAATTTCAACTATTATGATGAAAGTCCCAATATTATCATTTTAAAATAATAAAAATAATTTAAAAAATTAAAACCAAATGCAGAACATAGCCCACTGTGATCTTCTGAACTGCTAAAAACTGTGTTAATTAAAATTTCCACTTTAGCTCTTCCCCTGAATAAATAAAAAACAAAAAAATTCAGATTTTTTTAAATTTTTTTGTGATTTTAAAAATGTAACTTTGCAGTGATTTTTCTATGATAAGCTAAACACATTAAAGTTTTAACTTCTGGTGCTTTTAAGAAAACTTCTAAAAAAAAAAAATCGATCCACTTTGTGGCAATAATATGAAAATACGTGGTTGTCAGCATACTGTAAACAAGCTAATTAGACGCACCCTACATACAGAACTATAATATAGAACTAAACAAGTTTCTGGACCATTAATTTTAATCATATGGAAAAAAAACGAGCAAGAAATAAAGCCATCTTAAAAAAAAAGGAAGAAAAAGTAATCAGATGGCAAATAAAAACAACTAGATGTTGAGATTAACTTAAGGGGAAAAACTATTAATTGGTTTCACATCAAAATGGAGCAGGAAAAAAACCTTTTAATAATGAAAATAATCTTTGAAGACCACAGGGATTAGGAAAGAGCTTTCTATTCATAACCTACTCTGCTGGAGTATGACCTGCGATCCCATCTTTTGGACAAAAAGCGAGAGAAGTGTGAGTTATCAGGCTGTATCCTCTGTAACAAGAACCTGTATCATAGAATCACAGAATGCTTTGGGTTGGAAGGGACCCCTAGAGGTCAGCTAGTCCAACCCCCCTGCAGCACCAGGGACACCGCTAACTAGATCAGGTTGCTCAGAGCCCCGTCCAACCTGGCCTTGAATGCTTCCAGGGATGGGGTCTCCACTGCCTCTCTGGGCAACCTGTTCCGGTGTTTCACCACCCTCATTGTAAAGAATTTCTTCCTTATATCCAGTCTAAACCTACCCTGGTTTAGTTTAAAGCCATTACCCCTTGTCCTGTCACAGCTGGCCCTACTAAAAAGATTTTCCCCATCTTTCCTATAGGCCCCCTTTAGGTATTGAGAGGTCATAATCAGGT